TGCCGCATCACGTATAGCTTCATGCTGGCTGGCCACACGCGGTGTTTAGTGGATGGCTGCTTTGGCCTGCTCAAGCAAAGATTCCGCCGGAGTGACTGCTACTCCATGGCACAGCTCGCCACTACTGTCAATGAGAGTGCCACCGTCAACGTTGCGCAGTTGATCGATGACAGTGTTCCGTGGTATGCGTGGGATGCCTTTATCAGTCGGCACTTTAAACCCCTGCCTGGCATTTCAAAGCTGCACCATCTCGAGTTCTCATCTGCTGATCCTGGTGTTGTGCTTACGAAAGTGCACAGTGAGTCTGAGCAAGTCAAGGTCTCCCTATTGAAGTCGTCTGTCGAGGAAATTCGTGGGGCTGGACTGCCTGATGTGTTGCCGTGTGCAGGAATGTCAATTGAGCGCCAACAGTACCTGTTCAAGCACATCCGCCAGCATGTTCCCCCCGAGTTTCAGGATGGACTATGCCCTCAACCTGCTGTTGCTGCTGCTGCTGAGATCCAGGACGCAGATGCCTGATTGTCATGCCCATTATCTCTTTCTGACATATTTTTTTTCTTTTTTCGTGAGCTAAATGTCCGTATGCTGTATCACGTGTGCATCCACCACACAATAAGTAGCTTCTTTTACCTTTGTAGAAAGAACTAGTCATCATCAAGTGTCCCTGTATTCGTTTCCATGCTAAGTTGATACTAAGTTGATAACATTGCCATGCTCATTCATAAACAACACTCATACGATGTATTCGAACATTCCGGTATTTTCATCCTCGTGCACCACGAAAATCGTATATACCTACCGGTACGGAAATCGCTGTAAATCCGCAACGGATGCATATTTTTCAGTCCGGGTTTTTGCATCATATTCTGTGATAATCAAGGAATCACATCCCAGTAAAATCTCAAAATTGACCCCTGAAGCCAATGTGACCCTTTTCTCGTGTGGGGGCTTTTAGTCTATTTATTATTTAATTTATTATATTATTATTATTAGTATCAGTCTATGACTCCATATCGATACGAGCAAGAAGTTACCTGTAGCTGTTTGTTGTAAAGCAGATGTACAATGTACATGTACCTGCGTGCGCGGGTTGCCACAGTTTTCCATGCTTTCGCGCGGAATATTTCTTCGAGTTCACAGCGAGTTTTTCCAGGCACCGCATACGGTAACACGGCAAACTCCCTGGGCGATCGCCAGGATTGAAAATGTTTTGAAATAGACTGTAGTAGGGCGCAGTCACCCAGTTTCGTTGAAAGTGTGTTAGTTCGATTGGGAATAAAGGAGGTATAAAATTCTATTTTTGCATTTTTCAGCTTCTCATCCTGCTTTTATCTGTGGAAGAAATACAGTCAACTTCGCGAACAACGGCACTCGGCGGGGCATAAGAAACGTGTCCTTATTCTAAGTGTCCTTATACAGTAAAACCTGGTTTAAACGACCACCCCACGGTGCAAGCAAAAGCGGTCGTTAAAGCCAGGTGGTCTTTGGAACTACAGTTGAACATCGATTATCCGACCACCTCTGGGCAGACAACTGTCAGGCGGTGTTCAGATAAGGCAAATGCTCCGGATAAGAAACATGTACATGTACATGTACGACCTTTTACTTTTCAAAATTTTCGTATTTTTTGAATGCACAGTGCGTACTCTACGGCACGTGCGCCCAAAAAAACTGTTACGGATAATCGAATGGTCGGATAGTCAATGTGCGGATAATCGATGTTCCACTGTAGGTCCCATACATTCGTGACATATCGGATTGTGTACATACGTGTGCAGAATTGTATTACCAGGTACTCATATTGACAGGTGTGGAGCATAGAATACTTTCTGCAGAAAAGCACGCCTCACTCAAGTGCATGCAATGGTGTATTGTTGACTGCATGCACATGGATCAGAGCCCACTTCAACCCTGTTGCTGTCAAACCTGACAGCCAAGATAGCACTTTTGGTTAGTTTTGGTCTGTGTGCAGGTTCAGTATGGCACTTGGTACACTAAAAGTCGTTTGCTGGTCGAAATGAAGCTCTTTTCTTGCTCTATGTCAATGTGTACTTTATTTCCATATTGCAGTTGAAAGGAACTATAAAGTCAATATGCAAGGAAAATAATTATATTGAAAAATATGCCATTTTGAGCCATCTACAGGGCCAGGGACATGTACATGTATGATGATTACTGTGCAATCATGTACAACTACATGTAGGTGTGCTGGTAAATCCAACAATTTTGAAGCAAAATAAAAAAGGTAGAAAAGCCCCCCCCCCCCCCTTGGCTGCATGTCTTGCATGTGTGCCTTTATCCATCACCATGGGTCTACGTCTGGTACTTCTGCATGACAGGTACATGTACTTGACTGACAGGTACTTGAAATAGCTGTCAAAAGCCCAGAAAGTCTGTTCAAGCAGTGAATATGACCTGGGGGCATTAGAAGCATGTCATTACTGTAAAACCAGAAAGTCTAACGTTTAAACGACCAATTTTATTTCGTTATTCGAAAAACACGTTATCGCTAGATGTCTGTGTAAAAGAGGCACATACAGATGGGAGGCCAGCTAGCCATCGTTAAACTTTATGAACGTAATCAGGAGAAAATTACAAAAAACGTTAAACTTTTTGGTCATTAGACTTTCCGGTTTAACAAGTATTCGAGAATTGTCGTTCGTTCTATCCAAAGTTAAATGTATACAGTTAGATGGGACCTTGCTCTGGGCATGGAAATTCTGTCGTTGTATCTGCAGTCGTTATTAGCGAAGTGGACTGTAATTGCAAAATAACCGATTACCGACCGATAAAGGTTTACCGTGCTCGTGCGATTAGAGCCCTCTCTTGAATAGTGCCCTATCTCGAACAGTGCCCCAGTCTCTAAGAGCCAGTGAAAAAATAACGCCATCTCTTGAATAGTGGCCTCGGCACACTCTTTTCTGTTTGACCTCGCAGCTTTCACCCTGCGAGTGTGGAGTTTCCTGGCCACAAATGAATTCCTTAGCCATGACCATAGTGACAAGTGACTGGTATGATCCCTGACTTGCCTGAGTCCTTAGCTTGAGTCACCACGAAGGTAAACTCTTCACTTGGAACGCTTGCTGTCTCCTCGGCCCTTTCTTGTTGCACTTGCAGATATTTGCGCTCGGCTGCCAGGTTTTGTTGGTGCGCGCGGGAACGCACAGCCGACCTTGATGTCTTCAAAAAAGTAAAACACCGGTTCTACTTGGCCGATTCTCACCGTCGATGGCTCATTTTCTCGGTCTTGGAATTCTCTATCAGTTCACCATCCCCGTTTTCTATATTTCTTTTCATTCACTTGTTTGCACGTCTTCAAGTTGGAGTGATTTCACCATCCGATCTCAGCCAAACTGATGAAGGCAAAATCAAAAAAATCGAGACGGTAACCCTCCAAAAACACATCTTCGCTTCTGAACACGAATCCACAATGGTCTGTTGTCTGAAACCACCGAATACAGCCACGTTAAGCTAAGAAAGCTACCCACAATTGCAAGTGTGTTTTTGCCCTGCGCTGAATGGTCAAATCCAAAAGACCGTTATTGACGTTTGGTACGGTCGTGGTGAGCCCTGAAGTTATATTCGTAAGTTCACACATTGTTCATTTTGTGTGAATGTGTATGGCTGATAATAATTATTACTAGAGGGGTTGCGCACAACGGAAATTCGTAAATGTGGCTCATAAACCCAGAGATACTTTCGAAAGGCAACTTACTAACTGTCTTGAACCCTACTCAGATTTACTTCGATGACCATTCAGAAGAATACCATCACAAGCAGAACTCTGGAAAACAACAACTGTGCCTACGCTCCAAATGAACTATATAATTATATATAGCAAGAGCGGCGGCCACATCTAACACCTTGCCTCTACACCAACACTCAGCACATACATGTAGATAAGAGCGCGTGATGACACATAAGGTGCTAAGTGCTAGCGTAGAAACAAGGCGCTAGACGTAGCTGGCGCGTACAGGCAACGATTTAGCAGAGCGTAGAGAGGAAAACTGTTCAGCAACATTCAAAGAAGCAGAACGAGAACGAATAATACTTCAATTGAGGCTACCTCCGTAACAGTAACGCCGTAACGAATATTTTTAACGAAGAAAGCTGACGAATATTCGTAAATCGTGAGGTTACTCACGTGTGAACTTTTTCGTAGTAGGTCGACCCGCCGCACGCACGGGTACGGAGAGTCAAGACTAGGAGTTGTTAAATATCAGTACATGAGCCAGAGCGCGCTAAAACATGACCACTTCTTTGGAGGTCTACAGGTGTTGAACATGTTTTCGCTGGCAGTTCTCCAGTGGTGCTCCAACCAGGAGATATTTCGGACACCCAGCTCAGCTGCCTGTAGAAAATTTTGGATGTGGCAGAGTACCTGTCAGCTCATGCTATAAGACCCTGGACGGGAGAACTGACCTGGAAAGGATGAACCAAGGGACATATCAACTGTATACAAAAAATGACAATCCCATTACTGTACATAGAATTTCACCATTTCAACAATGCTGCATATAATACCATTGTAGCAACACTTAGACATGTCAGATCAATCCAAAACTTTCAGACAGAACATTTGATGTGTTTGATCATTTTTGAACAAAAGAACAACTGAACATCGAATTTTTGGTCTGTGGTCATGTTTTAGCGTGCTCTGGCTCACATGTGTTTTAGTACTCCACGTTACGAAAAATATTTTCGTAGATCTGCTCTGTTTCGGTCGCGTTTGGACGGATCTTCGTAGCAACTTCCCTTTCTCGAACCTCGACGTTCGAAATCTTACGAATTTTCGTCGTGCGCAACCTCTCTTCTATCGCACCTCTTTGTTCCCGCTTACCCATTTTTTAGCACTTTTTCTACAAATGTACCTCTCCAATAATCATTTATTGCTCTGCTGTACAGTAATATTCTTCAGTCACGAAAATCCAGTGATGAGAGTGACAAGAAAATCTATTTGTATCGGCGTCAGATTTCTCATGCTCAGTTTCTTTCCTTACCCTTGTGTACAAGCGAAACGGATAGGTCCGACGTTGTCCGAGTGGATGCTTGGCAGCCTGCACACGCTAGTACTTGATCAGCTAAGGGTATCACTGCCCGATAGAGGCAATTGCTATTTCTGCTTCACTGTCACAACGCATCACAAAACTGGCAACGGACGAAAGCAGGCCACAGGAGCACAACTAAAAAGATGAAGCCTAAGGTTCTTGATGACCACTGTACTATGCCACAGCTCTACTCAACACAAGTAGCTTTTTTATGCCGATCTCTGACTACCTGTTGCAACTGCTGAACTGGTAGCGCGCGAGCGTCTCGCGCCGGGAAATGGCGAGGATGAGGAGGCCACGTAGACATAGTTATCTACACATGAGTCATGAGCAAATCATCAGGTAATTAGAAGTGGTTAGTTTTCCACGCAGCTCACGTAAGACTCTGCTCCCCCGCCAAGCGGTGCGACCTTCATCTTCCGCCAAATCATGACAAGCTGCACGATAATTATACCGATCAAGAGCTAGCTTGTATATTTTGTAAGTAACTAGTTAGTTGAAGTTCAGGGCTCACAGCAACCATGCCAAAACCTCGATTACGTGGGAGGACATCTTGGATCTGATCACCATAGAAACGAACTCGCGTGACCGCTAAGCGCAGGCGTAGAACGCAGTCGCGCTAGGAGATTTTGACTTGCTTGGGCTTAGTTGCTGTGACAAGGACTGAGTCGTGAATGGTGAAGGAGATAGCCGGAGACTGTCTCACTATCTCTATTTCATTTCGGTAGTTCTTGTTTCCTTTCAAGTGGATTATTTCGCGAGCAGTGTTGGCCTTATCGGCCGAACGCTTCATTCAGACTGTCCGCACACGGAGTCCTGCGAAAAGTAGCCCCGAGCAGAATCCTGCAGTCGTTGACGAAAGAGTTCAACATCTACAGCCGGGCAGCTACGCCGCTGATGCACAGGCGCGGGTGACGGGAGAGGGAAAGGACTAGCATTTCTTGACGGCATGGAGCAATGACGCACGTCGTGTTCTAGTTTTAGTTTCTCCGCCGTGAAGTCCTGTTGTGTAAACGTAAATATACGGCTGGTCTGCGAAGAGCCGTGTAGCGCAGTGGTGACGATGTGGAGTTGTGAATTATTTGATTCGCCACTCCGTTTCGTTGCAAGAGAACAAGTCCAATGGCTTCGCCGTTGTGCTGGCCATGTATTTCTTCGGTCTGCCATAACCATGATAACTCCTGGAGGACACAGCGATGAAGCGCCAGGCGAGTAGCAAAAACATTTCAAAAAATTGCTTTGCTGCTAGTGTTGTTTCCGCATTCCCAACAAGTGCAGCGCGCGCGGTTCTTCCTCGCGGCTGCACTGCAGATAGGGTTGCCTTTGAAATGTTCGTTTGTACCCGTCTCTGGCCCGATTTTGATGGCCAATAGCTTAAAATTTTCAGTAGGAAAATTAGAAGAACTTATCGAGAGACTTTTCAATTTTAGTACAATAATCCAAATCAGAATTACGCCTGCACCAACTGATACTTTGGCTCCATATATACGCCAAACCGTATCGATTAAAACAAATAACTCTCGGACAAATCCTTACAATGGGTATTGAGAGTATGTTCCTAGAGTTTCAGAGGCCTAGGCAAAAGCATTGGTACAAATGAACATTTTGAATGCACCCCACTTTCAAGTTTTCAGAGATATCTGCCTGATCGCATGTACACAATTCTGGCATGCTGGCTGGCTCGTGTGACAACGGCCTGTCCAAAATGGCGCCCACGCTTTTGTGTGATGCTGTGAGCCCTGAAGTTAGTTGTACTTGCAGAGTCTTCCGTCTGCACGTGCTACACTCCTCTCTAGCACAGAGACAGGAGTGGAGTACTGCATGCAGTGTCGGGTATACTACGTCACGACGCGTAGACCATGAAAATGATGAAGACCACGAAGACCATGATTGCATGATGAAGACCCCCACCTAGGCCCCAGGTCCAGACGGTGAATAGTAGATCTACTAGTACTACTACTACTACTAGTACTAGTACTAGAAGTAGTTGAAATACTCAGTAGTAGATCTACTACAGTACAGTACAGGTCAGTGCTAGTACTAAAACGCGATTTCAAAAAATGGGGTGAAGTGCCTACTACGTACTAGTACTACTACTAGTACTAGTAGTACCGTACTGGCAATATATGTTGCCGCAGTGAGGCCATGAAGCGTTACATTGGCACATGTTTGCCGCACGCAGTACTAGTCCGAGTAGTCGTAGATCGACAGCTAGCTCACCACACATAATCATTGTGACACAGCATCTAAGCCTGCCTGTCTGTGTTAGCATGGTTAGTATCGACGTGTAGTCGATTAGTACAGTAATCATGGTAATCAGTGTCATGGTTTTGCACCCACGCGTCCTAAGTAGTACTTACTCAGTTACTGTAACTACTTAGCGAGGGCCCACTTGGCTGCTATGACAACTACAGTCAACTTCGCTTATAACGACACTCGGCGGGGCATCAAAAAGGTGTCCTTATTCGCGAAGTGTCGTTATACCCGAAGTCTCATTTTTATGTATTACAGTGGGATGGGACTTTGCTCTGGGCATGGAAATTCTGTCGTTATTCGCGAATTGTCGTTATATCCGCAGTCGTTATTAGCGAAGTTGACTGTAGAAGCTTATACCCACGACGTACCCCACGTAGATCTACAGCTACGTAGTACTACAGTACAGACCAGTCAGCATGGTCAGTGCGGGCAACTGAAATCCGCCCACCCGAGCGGTGCGCTCACATCGCTAAGAAGTAAGACTAAGAGTAAGAGCAAGAGTCCATGGACTCTTGGTAAGAGTAAGACCCAACACGGGATGCTAAAACTACGAAACAGAGACCGCTTTGAACCCACCGGTACCGCTCGAGGGGGTAGGATTTCAGTTGCCAGCACTTTAGTCACTACATGTAGGAGGTATAAAGGTAAAAAACCGTTTGCTTTTGCTTGCTGTTGTCTTCTTCGAGTGCGGCCAGTTTTAGTGCAGCGCTGTCGTGAAAATTAATTTCAAAAAGTATTCTTTCTAGACCAAAGAGTGGTATTTGATAAATAAAGATAGAAATATTTACGGTACTTCTCCAGACGTTTCGTTGTGCTGAACCACATCGGCAGTGGATAGAACAACGAAACGTGTGGAGAAGTATTGTAAATATTTCTATCTTTATTAGAATACTTTTTGATAATTATTACAATGAGAGTGGATAATCAACGGCTTGTACTCTTTAAAATTAATTTCGTTGCCCTATTGTATATCTAGGGTTTGTTGCTCACGATGGAGGAAGAACAACTTGAGTCAGTTGAGACGAACGAACTCTGGCAATAAAAATGTTCCTGGCGACTTGGTTCAACTCAGGGTGATAATGATTGTCGCTGTTGCAGCAGCGTTGAGTGCTCCTGAGAACCGAACGTGTCGTCTTCAGCGGCTGCCGTTCCGCCATTCCCGTTTACGAGTCAGCTGATCAGCAGATGTGTTCGATCAGCGACAATTTCTAAATTCATAGGAGCGCTGCTGCTGACGTGGGTGCAGTGAGAACACCAAAAAACAAACCTGCGGATTGTGTGGCACTGGTAGTGCATACACCTGGTAGATCTACACGCCGGGCGTTGCGTGCGGAGCCCTACAACAGTAGTACAAGGATTTACTCGGCGCGTTAGGTACCAGCGGATTATGCCGGCATAATTATTGGCATAATTTGGTGGTTGAAAATTTGGCATCCTTAGGAGATAGGAGCATAACTACATAATCATTGTGTAGCCTACACAGTTCTTCTGTGTAGCTACACGGATCAGTGCTGTTGGTCTGCATGGTAAAGGGGTCATGCACAGGCGTGTTTGTGGCTCCCAAGTATTGTGTGAACACCACGGCTCCCACCAATATGAACCAGTAGTAGGCAGTACCATGCATTTGTTGCTGAATGCAATGTACATGTCCTAACCTTTTCCATCAATAACACGCGTCTGTATTGTATGTTGCAACGTCGCCTAGCCTCCAGTGGAATAATCATGACTGATTGTGTTATCTGTACCAAGGACCTCAAATACATCTAGACTTGGTTGCCCAAAGATATCCAGTACCTATACACAAATATTGACCGAGCTACGCCACTGACGCAGATAGTGTTTTCAATGAAAAGCAGGATAGGAATCGTGGCAATGCATCATTGTATGCTGGAACGTCTTCTTCAAAGTAACTTCTTTCTCACACTGGCACAGTACATTTAGCAGACGATGCGGGTGAATCAGCCTTTATCAGGTATCCTGGTTCGGGCGAGATAGTAACCTGGTAACGGGTAGTCCGCAAAACTCCGCGTACATGTACATTTTAAAATATCATTATGCATGTTACGAAGTCATGACCTAGTGTACCTCTGGATTTTAGCAGCCATGACTACCGGTACATGCATGCTATGGATATTGCTCTAATATTTAAATAAAAAATGGAGGTATGGTTGTCATTAGTTGATGCTCGGTCATGATGGAAGGAGAGGTGGAGCTACGGGAGAGATGAGCTGGTTATTCGCAGGGTGAGGGTGACAGCGGCTAGACGGGAATGACGATTACGGAGACAGTTGAACATGATAATTTTCAAAGGTAACTCAAACTTTGCAATGAAAAAATCTTTTTACAAAAGAAGTCAACAAATGAATAGAAGAGTATTGACTGTTTTCTCTTTTCCATGTTGATCTCTACATAGTAAGTACTAGTATGCATGGACACCTAAGTCCTAGGTATGGAGATACTCGTGTAACATTTTGTTGTACTTATGGCAAGTACAAAAAAACGCACAATTTTCCGAACTTTGAGACTCCATAAGTACAACCAAGTGAATATGCATCCCCGGGTGCCAAAGCATAATAATAATATATTATTATGAGGATATTGTGAGCATAATGCGAGAATCCAAGGAAGCACAACTCCATGATTTCGCGAGCATAATCCGTTGGAGCCTAGGGCACGTTCGAATTGTCACTCTTTGACTTTCCGAGGAGTTTCGTTTTTCTGAAGAGGTGGCCTTATTGGCCTCTTCAGAAAAACGAAACTCCTCGAAACTGCTCAAACTCATCCAATGGGAGAGGTGGATTAGTTCCAAAGAGTTAAGAATAGCTACGCCACATAGTACGTGGAGATAGTCGATCTGATCGGATGTCATCATCGCCATGACAATTCCACTGAAAAACTCTAAAAATGATAGAAACCATTCTAATGGGACACTTCAACTAATCTCTTCTAAAAATTTGTTCAAACATTTGATGGAAGACAATTCGAACGCGCCCTAAGTAGACCTACGAACACTGGGCTAGCAAATGATGCAATGCGCCTGGTATATGCGGAGTTGCACATTCTGAGTCATGTTGATCGAGTCTTGCGCATATGAATCGCTACCTTTCAGTTTCACATAACAAACATGATCGAGGACTTTTTAGAGGATGCAGTAGAGTGGCGCCCAAGATCGTTGTTTC